AAGGTTTTTTAAAAATAAAACTTCTCTATTTTGCGTTTTTCCTTCATTTGAGGCAATACATTTCAACTATAAAGTATGTAATAGTGTCTGTTTTAGCCAAAAAGAAATTCCACCTTTTGGAGCTATAAAATATACAGAATTGAAAGCTGACACCTAATATATTTTTCATTAGATACAGATGTTCAATGTAAAATTCTTCAAGTATTCATGAAAAGCAGAATAACTAGAAATGTTCAGATATAATGCATGAGAAATAAAAATCATACCTTTTGGTAAGTTGCTAATGACTTTTTAATGAAAACCATTTTTCTTTTTATAATTTACAAGTTCTTTTAAATTTATTGTAATCATCTTGTCACTTAACATTATGGATGAAATCTTTAAATTATCATGGAATATAATGAGATAAAAATACCTAAAAACCGCTTCCACATGTAGAAAATCTTACGAATAATTTCTAAAGAAATGATTCAACAATTTCATATTTACCTTCTTTACCTTGACATTTAATTGGTAATCTTGAAAATACCGCAACTATTTATTTTTTACACTTGGTTGCAAAATAACTTCCATATTATTATTAGAAAATGCAGGCCAATATAATGAGTGCACAGTACAAATTGTCTTATGCTGACTTGTTTCTCGACACCACTGCTTTCATTCTTGTTCTGAAGGAGCTGCATCAAGTTATGAAATAATAGCAGTTCTTCAGAGGCAACCTCTGTGGTGAGCACGGAGAGCTAATGATGTTTTGTCACATGCAGAAGTCGTTGTCCTAACTAAGGGCTAAAATGTGAGCTATGCAGTAGGGGGGAAGGGCATTAAAAAAAGTTGATTCTCTTTCCTCCTTTACCTGCCCTCCTCCAAAGGAAAACAAAACATCATTTCAAACAGATGTTTTTGGAATCAAAATACATTAGATATTGTGAGTTTAAGCTGATAGTTTAGCTGTGATTCCAGTTAAGTCATATTTATTATAAGTATTGATGGAATTAAATTGCATGTATTTTTCTTACAATAAAAGCTAATCCTATGAGAGCTTCAATTTAAAACTTTAAAATACCTCTTTTTTACTTTAGCTATTTTTCACTAAAATCATTCTCAAAATTTTCCAGTAGTTTGCTGTATCTTCTATTAATTCACGTGCTCACTGAAAGCATTTATTTGGGGACTGCCATGTAAATAACATTAAGCTCCCTTCTGTAGGAAAATACACACACAGAGCTATACCTTGGGAGGTTTATAGTGTGTTGAGGAAGACCAGGACTTTATACCAAACATGTTACTAGCAGTCGAAGACATTTGATAAGTGAATGGTATTGACGAGCATGACCAAATGGAGATCAGTGTGCACTGGGAGGACCTCTTTCTGGATTTGTGGTTAAAGGGAAATAGAAATTGGCCAAGTAGATAGAAGGTAGGACTGTACAGGGAGCGGATATGCCAGGAATGAAGGTGTGGCTGTAGTTCTCATAGAACTGTGAAGGCAGGGTGCAGACCAAGTAGCAGGCTATAAGGATGCTGGGTTAGGAAGGTGGAATAGAGGCAAATGGGGAGGCTTTTGGATACTAGGATCAGATGAAGATTTCATCTTTTAATTAAAGGACATTAATGACTGTGCAATGAAGATGAAGAATGAACCTGGGAGGGTGGTGGTTAGCACTATTATTTTTACCAATGAATAAGGTATATATTGGAGATAGAAGATGAGGCAGCAAGGAAGAACCATGGTTTTTGTGTTTATTGGTTTAGGTATCAATCATGACAATTTTTGTTATCATTATAAGATCATAAATGGAATAAAGACTGAGTATGCAGCACTTGTGACTGATAAGTTGTAGGAAATTTATGCAGGAAAGGAAAATATTCTGAAATTTAGAGAATTACAGAACCAGGAAAAGGAGAGTGCTTTGGCAGAGGTGAGTTCTGGGAGTTTTATGAGAAGGAAATTAGTGGTTTTATAAGGCTAAGGGAATGGAGAAGTCAGGAATGACAGTGAAAGTGTCCAGGATTTCCTTTGGGAATGACAAAAATGCTACAAAAATGTTGGCACCATAATTATACTAAAGGTAATTAAAAGATACACTTTAAATGTGTGAATTGTAAGGTATGTGAAATATAGACAATAAAGCTGTGACAACATACAGAAACAAAAATAAAAGAGAAAATATACTTTGGGGACATATAGGAAAGAATAAAAATAACCTTTAGCTGGCCAGTTAGTTAAATGTCAGGGATGAGCAATTGTGAATCACGTTCATAAAAGCCATGGGTTAAGCTTTGAGGATGGTTGTTAAAAGAGAGAAAGAAGAGATCTGAACCTGATAATTCTATAGTGCAAGACTGCAGGAGGAAGGGAGGTGGTTAGGGAGCTAGTGTTTTCTTAGAGGCTTTATCACTTACATTAGTTTTATCCATATTGTCTTAATCAGGAAAACAAATTCAACAGAATTTGAAAATACGGCTTTATGTATCACCATGGTATTAAAGTTGCCAAAAGTAGTTGATTTTTATTTATTTATTTAGAAATACAACATAAAATATTTTCTTTTTTTCTTATAATATTTTATTTTATATAATTCTTACATCAGTTTTCATTTTTGCACAATGTATGCATTTTTATCTTGGTTATATTTCCCATACAATCGCACCCCCCCTTATTTTGACCCTAATCCTTCCTCTCCCCGCCCCTGTCCCCGTAGTATGTCCCTGGTTTATAGTTGCTTGTTGAATTTGATTTTTGCTTTGTATTAGTTCATCTTTTTCCTGGTCTGTTACTTAGGTTTTCTGAATCCCTGCTATGAGTGAGACCATCTGGTATTTTTCTTTTTCTTTCTGACTTATTTCACTGAGCATGATCCCTTCTAGCTCCATCCATGTTGCTGCAAACTGCATGTGTTTTTCTTTTTTGATTGCTGAGTAATATTCCATTGTGTATATGTACCACACTTCTTGATCCGGTCATCTATTTTTGGGCATTTGGGTTGTTTCCATAACTTAGCTATTGTAAGTAGTGCTGCTATAAACATAGAGGTGCAGGTGCCCTTTGGAATTAATGTTTCTGTGTCATTTGGGTAAATACCTAGGAGTGGAATTGCTGATTTTTAAAAAAAGATGTATTTATTGCATGGAAGAACTGAGTTGTAGGCAAAAGGTATGGGAGGGGTGGTGGTGAAAGGATTCACCAGAGACAGAGTAGGGAGCAGAAAATGTGGATCCACTGAAATACACTGCTAAAGGGAGCAGTGGGCGAGTCAAGAGAGGTCTGCTGCGCCATATGTTCAATTCCTGCCTGAGGAGTGAACTCAGGACTTCACGGTGGTAGCACTGAGCCTTAACCCCTAGGCCACCAGGGAGGCCTTGTAGTTGATCTTTAATAAACTATGGCTATATTTCAAATTTCAAATTAAAGAAAAGAGAGCTTTTGCGTTTTTGTAATCAAAGACATACGTGGAACACAAAATGCCATTTCTGCTTTTTGCCCTTGCCTTACAGGCTAAAGCAATGGGATGGGCCACTGAGGATGAGCAATGAATGACCTCATAGGCCAAATAGTATAGTCATTGGGAAGAATGGTGGTTTGAACATTATCAATTGGTTGGTTTTTAATCCCCTTTGAACTCTAAATGGTGGGATTTTTTCATCTGGTATGTCATCTTGCTGCTTTTATTTTTTTATTTTTTTTTTTTTCACATTAGATGCATTTTTATTAGAGCCTTTTTAGTGTACAACATGAGGTAACAGGAAAATCATTTCTCCTTAACCAGTACTTCACACACCTGTAGTAAAATATTTTAGACTTAAGGGATTTATAAGGGATTACAATTCTTAAAAGTTGGGGATCAAGTAAACAAGTTCTAACTTCTTGAATATTCTAGTTGACTCCTTAAAACAGTAACCAGCTCTAACTAGTAACCTAAATTTCTTCAAGGCCATATTTTATTGTCACTTATGTCTTTAGATCTGAAGCACGCTATTTCAATCAATATCCACTAATTCCACTTCAAAGATGAGTTTTGCATTTGGTGGAATTTTGGCATCGGGTTGTCCTTTCTTTCCATAAGCCCATTCTGGTTCAATTTCCAGTCGAGCCTTTTCTCCTTTACTCATAGTCAAGAGTGCTTCATCCCATCCTCTGATAACTTTGCCTATTCCAACCTTAAAACTTAAAGGCTTGGCACTTTTCTTCTTCTTTGAACTGGTTTGAATATTAGTATCAAAAATAGTGCCGTCCTGTAGAGTTCCTGTATACCAGCAATGAACAACATCTCCCTTTTTGGGGAAGTTGGTTTTATCTCCTTTTTTAAGAATGGATTTTGTATATTTTGGTGGACCCTCATCCAGAGTCTCTTCAGATTTGGTTTCTTTGGGTTTATCTTCATTAAGCTTCACATTTTTCACCTGCTCAGACACTTTACTTATACTTTCAGTACCCTTGAAACGCTTACTTTCAAAAAGATGGTTATAGGCTGTAACCAAATGGTCCTTGTTAGCTGTCTTGGCCACATTTTTAATGTTTCCTAATAATTTATGTTCTGCAAGAAACGAATCTGAACCGTGGTCCTGTAGAAACTTGATAATGTCCTTCTTGGGTAGCTGCTCGCTGCGCAGCTGCTCCACGGTCCAGGCCCGCTGCGGAACGGCCGCCGCCATCTTCCCCCGCTGCCTCTGCTTTACTGAGCCGGCCCGCCCGGGTTGGACATCGCCCCGCCCAGGGGCGTGGCCGGCCCGCAGGCCATCTTGCTGCTTTTAATGTGAAATAAAACTTACATGCAGTTGAAAATATATCATAAGAATATAAAATGTTGACATTCTACAACCAAAGGAAAATATAAAACTCCAAAGAAACAACTCTCTCCTGTGGGTTTCTATTCCAGATATGTAACTCAGCTGGAATAAAAATTGTGGTGATAAAATCTGTGTCAAATATATTGGCATAATTGTCGTATTTGTGTTGTGGGATGGTTGTGTTTTTATAATGCTTCTTTTTGTTATCTCAGGGAAGGAGATTACAGCAGAAACCTTTATGGAGAAGTTGGATAATGGTGCTTTGCTCTGTCAACTTGCAGAAAGTGTGCAGGAGAAATTCAAAGAAAGCATGAATGCTAATAAACCCACAAAGGTAAAAGATACTAAGACAAAAATCACTGCCAGAAGATAAAATGTGTTTGAGTAGCTTATAAATTGAGTTTAATGTAAAGAATTTGTTGTGAATGGATGTATAGTAGTATCTCTTTTAACAGGAAAACCACAGAGCATGATTTTAAATGAGGTAACATGTTATTTGCACTCTAATTACATAAATTACATAATACTTTGGGTAATTCTAATTAAACAAAAGCTTCCAGAAATAACTGTTTTGCACTCATACTAAACAAGTACTGTGTATAAACAGATATTGAATCTGATGTATTAATTAGAAATTTAGCAGAGAAATAACATGTCATTCAGGCAATGAATAAAATGTAGCCAAGAAAGATTTACTAATTAGGTCTTTATTTCCAAATAGATTATTATGGCAGAATGGCAGAATATTGGAACAAAATATCTGAAATACATTTTTTTAATTTGTTTTAAGTAAGTACTAGCATCTAAATAGGTTTGGGCAGATTGTTTTCTTTTTGAATGATCAGATTTCTACACATTAGTTCTGATACTCTCTTCTGGTAATTATAAGCACATAATAAAATGTGATGTTTGATACATTTTGAAGGAAACAAGATAGTTGATACCTTTCTTAATTTTAATAGAGAAGGAAAAGAGGTTAAGAAAAGATTAAAATAGCATTAATTAAAGACAATAAAATCTTAGAAGCAATTCTGTGAAAATGTTGATTCAGTGGACTCCATCCTTTGCTATACAATGGAGTCATCTGAGTATCTTTAAAAATACTCAGACCAATGACATTCTGATATGATTCCTATGGGGTGTTTGGGAACTGGGATCTCTAAAAATCCCTGAAAGTGATGTAATGTTCAGCAAAGTTAGGGAATCACTGCTGTCATTTTTTCCCCTCTATTGGAGAGACACAGACTAGGTCTTTCTTGTAAGATCACCTGACTAGTTATGACTGGGCAAGAATTTGACATAGACATCCTTTATCCAACTCTAGTGCTATTTTGTTTTGGTTCACTATGGGGTGGCATAGACATGAGGAGATTATTAATGAAAATTATTCATATGAAATGTAATGTTAGAACTGAAAGAAATCCATTACTCTTTTCCATTGTAATGTAACTGGTCTCTGCTTCAGCTTACTGATGAGAAAACACAATGTGTAATAGGAGGACAATTTGTATAGAAAGTTCTCTATAAAATAAATTAAGATGGGGGGAAAGTGGTGTGCTCAGACTTTTGAGAGCATTATATTCATATTGCATAAGTCCTGAAACCTCTATTTATATTGCTTATTGCTGAGAAAAGGAAGATCATTAACTCAATGTTAAGATCTTGATTCTTCATAGTAACAAAAAATAAGCAACTCTGCTAAGGCTAGTGTACAGTTTTCTGGTTTTGTTTTGTAAACTTTTATTTTTTAAAAAAGAAGACCCATAAATAGAATTATACAAATAGAATTCTCCAGTATAAGTCCTCCAAGCATTAAACAATAATTTAAAGGCTTAGAGTTCACCACATTTTGCTTAGGTTCTCATTTTGTTACTTATTAATTGAATATGTCAGAGCCTTAGTTTCCTTAGCTATAAAATAGAATTGGTAATTGCATATGTCTTCCAAAAGCATTACATAAAGATACTCTAGCTCAATCTTATCTCCCTCCCTTAGTGAGTCAAGAGGTTTTGATAAGAATTTTAGATCAACTAGAATTAACTAGAAGGGGAAAAAAATGTACTTCGTAAATGTGATAGCTATTGTATACAAATAAATAGGTATATATTTGCTCAGTCTCAATGATAACAGATAACATTACAAATAACAAACTCAAATAACAAACTCAACTATGGTAATTGAACAAATGTAGGTTTAAAAATACCTATTATAATCTCATCTCAATGCTGAAAAAGTCAAATTTAATCTGAGTTAGCAATTGATACAATTACTCTTCACTGAATTGCCTTCTGTGTCCTTGGCAGAACTTATATTCACAACTGATTTCCAATAATATGCACCTTAAATCAAAAGGAGGCTACTTTATATTTTTTTTTAATATATTTTTATGAGTTAGCTTTTGTGAGTGTACATGTGCATATACGTGTGTGTGCATGTTGAGTTATTTTCTACCTGGACATTTTGAAGTTATATACAATAATAGTGAAGATAGATGAACTGGTCAATACCTTCTCTAAATGAATGAAATATATGTTTAGGGAGATGTTAAAACTTAATTATTTTGGGGCCTCCTTGGTGGCGCAGCGGTTGAGCGCGGGGTTGCGAAGCTGACCGCAGCCTTGCAGCGCCGGTTCGATCCCCGGCTGCTCCCCAGCCACTGGAGGAGGGTCCTGCATGGTGCGCAGACCTCTCCTGCCGCCCGCTGCTCCCTTCAGCAGTGTACTTCGGTCCTTCTGCCTGCTCTGCTCCCCGCTCTGGCTCTGGTGAACTCTCTCACCCTCCCGCGCTTCTGACTGTACCCAGTGCTTGTATAAATAATTAAATAAATCTTTAAAAAAAAACAACTTAATTATTTTGAAATAAATCAACAAACTTGATCCCATCCAAAGTCTTCAAAATTATTTCACAAGAAACCCTTTTTATTTTTTCCCTAGAAACTTAGGTGAGATGCCTGGTATGTGTGAAGTATGTCTGTTAAGAATGATTTAAACACTCTTAATATTTGGAAGTAAATTTAAATACATATAATAAGAGTTTACATATTTAATATTTTAGACTTCAGGAATTAAGTAGCAGTTAGTATAAAGCATTTGAGACCAGTGTGCACCAATTTAGTATATGATTTGATTTTACCTAGTTATAGCTATCATAATATGATCAATTCACCATAACAATAAATGTGTATATTCTTGGAGTAAGGACTGTTAAAGCAAAAATCTAAATAAAACTAAGTTTTCAAATATCATTTCAGGTTGAGAGAACCAAAACAAGTGGTAAATCCAAGGTTAGGTTTTATACATTTTGATCCTTAGTTACCCAATTCAGAGATGGCATCTCCAATTAATTCAGTGCTACGTTGATGTAAAATTTTCACTTCCTGGTCCAGATAGAGTTAAACTATATATAAACTTCTTGTTACATATTTACTCTGTTCTTTTTCCACCAGCCATGACTTGCTCATCATGCAAGATTCTCTCAAACACCAGGGCATCAACGAGGGGCAAGCTATTTGATGGGTTCAAACTTCGTTTTCCTCTTAACACTCCTTTCCGTTTGTCTCAATTATTCTGAGAGTCTACCATAGACATCATAATTTTCCTGGCTCAGAGCCTCCTTTGACTTCAGAGAGCACTGGATGCTTAGATCAGGTTTGAAGCTCATGAAGGGAAAAGAAAAAAAAAAAGGATTTCTGTTACGTAGTAGAATACTAACATTATTCTCTTAGGGAGGAACTGAACATTCACCATCTTAGGTAGAATCCAGTCCTTGTTTGAGGGAAATAGCATCCTTGTCAGATAGAATGCCTATGGTACATTTGCTTATTAATAATACCTAATTCTCATAGTCGTAAGATAACTATACCTCAGGATGTTATACCATTCAGGAATTAAATAGGATGATTAGCGCTTTTCCCCTTAAAAATCAGTAGTTTGTTTTCTTTAGAGAAAATCTGACCAAGATTTAATTCAGAGAAATCCAGGAATTTGTATTTACTGCTGCTATTTCTGACAGAACAAGAAAGCACAGTAAAAGTGATCAGTTTTTTCTTGAAAAGAAAATCTTAGCTGTGATTAATCTAGAGCCATTTATAACTTGCTATACATAAAATTATCATATATAGATATATAATCCATAATAAATTCATGATTTTGAGATGCAAATATACTACTAATCTTAAACCAACAGAGTGAATATTGAGATGGAGGAAATATAGGTGGAATGATGTGGAAATATTTTTTTGGATTATTTTGCTACCTGTGACTGAGGCAAAAAGAGGAAAAAATATAGTTAGTGATAATCTCTAATTCCTTAGGATTTTTAAAAAAGAATGTAAAAATCTTTATTTTAAATATATTACAGTCAGTTATTTTTCAGTATAAAATTGAATTCCCTTATCACCATTTTTTTAAGTCCCTGAATATCTGGCCAATCATCTTTCTCTAGAGCAGAGACAATGAAAAGTCTCAATGTTTTTCTTATTAAGTGTTTCTGTCCTAGACACTCTTTAGAGGATATGCTTCAATGTTGTTTCAGTGATAAATGTTGGCATAAAGCATAGTATGTTATGAAATGGATGTTGACTTTTTGTTTTCCACCAGTGGTCACTCATAGGAAATTGATATAGACTGTATGTGAAGACCGAATAAGAAAAAAAGCAGGAATATGAAAATGTGGGCATGAAAGGGAGTGAATTAATGTGCTTATAGGATGTAGTTGGGTCTTCAGGCCTCATTTAACTAATTCCATATATGACACTTCTACTTGACAGAGAGCTGCTGAACACAACTGCAGGTACAGTCAAATTCATCATCTGACACTAAGTTCACAATAAATAGTTCATGTTTTATGGTCTCATGGAAACTTGAGACCAGGTCTCCATCCTGGTATTCCAACATAGAGATTCGCCCTCCATTAGACAGCAGTAGTAAGCTGGAAACATTTGTATGCCATCCTTTACAAGGAGGTAATGTTCCTATGTGACTCTACCTTTGGACCCATAAAGTTCATTTACTTGGAAAAATCCTCCTCCTGGGTTCTGATGGGATTTATTATCTACTCTGGAGAATAAATGTATATATTTTATAAGGTCATAAAATATATACATTTACATACTGTTCCTGCTATTTAATATCAAATAAACAAAATATCATAATAGAAGATTTTGATTTCTTATGCAATGTTGAAATGTCCATGGTTTCTGTAGGTCATGTCACAGAACTGGAGTTGATGTGCAGTATAGACAATAATCATAATACCTCACATCCAGGTGTTTAGCAGATATGCTTTGGCTGAATAAAGATGTAAATGAATGGCCCAAAAAAGATATTTACTTGT